CAGCATTATATGAAATGCTGAAAGGTGTTCTTTAAGAAGAGGAAGAAGAAAAAGGTAAAGATAAAATTATGAACAACAAAGTGACAACAAATACATATCTATCAACAAGTGAATCTAAAAATCAAGTGAATAAAAAAATCTGATGAACAGAGTAAACTGGTGAATATAATAGAACCAGGGGCATGGAAAGGGAGTGGACTGACAATTCTTGGGGGGAAAGGGGTGTGGGGGTGCAGGAAGAGACTGGACAAAAATCATACACCTATGGATGAGGACAGTGGGAGGAGTAAGGGCAGAGGGTGGGGTGGGAACTGGGTGGAGGAGAGCTATGGGGGGGGGCAGAGGAACAATTGTAATAATCTGAACAATAAAGATTTAATTAAAAGAAAAAAATAACAAAATCACGTGGAAATTTGTATATTTTTCCACCAGGGATAGAAGAAGGACAAGGAAGAGATAATTCTATTTCTCAGGCTGGGACTGGCCTATCAAGCCACCCTACTTGAGACTTACTTCCATCTTTTAACACTATGTTTTGTTTTAAAATGTCTATCTCCATTATGCATTCATGATAAAAAAAACAAAAAACAAAACTCACCAACTAGGAAGAGAGAGAAAGTTTCTCAACTTGATAAAGAGCATCTACAGCTAACATCACATTTACTAATGAAAGCCTGGAGTAACATCACTAAGATGGCAACGTCAGAGACTCCAGCTTCCGTTGCCCCACAAAGAACAATTAGACAGCTATCCACACACAAAAATAGGTCTAGGAGAGTTCAGTAGTTCACTCAAGAATCTTCAGCCACAGAGTGGAGAAAAACACACACAAAACAACCCTGAGGATAACTGAACAGAATGGGTAGGGAGAATAGTTTCCTTTTGTCTGCATCATGTCACCCCCAGGCCAGCACCGCTCGGTGTCAGGAGGGAACTCCGAACGCAGCCTGAGAGACTTGCCCTTGCTGTGGAAGGAACAACAGGGTAAGTGCCAATTTTCTCTACCCTTTCAGGGCGCTGTACAAATGGCCTGCTTTGGTATCATTATGCCCACTCTGCTGGCTTAGATGAAAAATCTAGTGACAGCAAAGAACAAAGAAGAAGAGTAGGAAATGCTAGTCATGATTTCCCATGTCCTGCTCTGCAGAAGACCCCACCAGCCCTCAACAGCTGCTGAGGAAACCAATAGCCAGCACAGCCTCTGTGAACACCCTGCTGGTTTTGCTGCTGATAGTTCCACAGGTTTTCACACTTGCGGATTCTAGCATCCTGAGCCCTGCCTTACCGCCCTCCACGCTCACTAGAGCTGCCCTGAGTTGTGCTACCGCCCTGAGTCATGGGATCTACTCCAGCAGCCAACACTGATGTATGTGGCTGGGCTTGTGCATAGTACCAGCCCAGTTCCCTGCAGCTGTTCAGTGAGTGCTTAGTATCAGGGTGTCTGCCTGAAGGTCCAAACCATGCACCTTTGGAGAGATTAACAAACCCAAACTCCCTTGTAA